GAAAGTGATTTCAGACGGCAATGTTCCGTTGATTTACGCTTAACCGATTACTCGGCTTCAACATGGATGAATGGAAAGATACAGATGAAAAAGAAATAAATTTATTTTTTAAGTCCATATGTTAAACAGATTAACAATTTAATCTATTAATAATTCGATATTAATTACTGATAGAAATCTCGATATATATTAAACGCAGAATTCTTTTGATCGAAGTATCGAAATAATTTCATCGATCTTTCCACGTTTAATTTCTTTATTGTTCAATTATCGACACTTTACTTTAGTAATTACAAATTAAATCCTATCGGAAGAAAGAGCGACATCAAATTTGTTTCTGCTAATACTTATATATTTCCTTATAAGCCTGTGTAAATTTATCTCACCCCATCGTCACGCCATGAGAAACGCTTATTATGGAGCAACTTGCGTGTTTCAAACGCCGATAATTATTTAACGGCCTTGCCGCATCGCTTAAATGTCGTAAACAGCGACACAAGTCATTAAATAAATTACTCTGTTATGCGCGTTATAATGTAAGCATATTGTGATACTGTAGCTTCTATTATGTTACGTGCGTGCAAGTGTATATATGTGTGTTATTATACTATAATTTTCCCTCTTCACGAATACTTACCGTGGTTACCTTCGCTGATCGTCTCGCTCGCGTACAACAATTGTCCTCGTGGTAAATCACTATCTTTCGGACGTTCGGTGCAACAAGAAAAATGTATAATAATGAGGCACATACTGACGGGGGAGAAAAGGAAAAAGAAAAGTATCGAAAAGCGGGGAGGTGAGGGAGACGTGGGAGAGGGATGGGAAATCCATTAACGTTACAGAGTCAGTCACCGTTGGATATTCATTATTTATTAATTAGCTAATATTATTCTGAAAACGTATGAACATTTGTACATGTGTTTTGTATCATGAGGTACTTGTGTATGGCGTTCGTCATATATACGTAATCGGCGCAATACGGGTGCACGAGTGCGGACGCACCCGTATACAAATCTACGCGGTTTGCATGATCGAGATCATCCGCTCGAGCTTTTTATTTCACGGCTTCCCTCGCTTCTTAATTCCCCTTTGAATTTGTCTCGTGGCGGCAGTGTGCTCCTCTCGAAAGGGCTAGTAGTTACAGAGCTAATTGTATCTTTATATGAGAATGCGCGCGCAAATCGCGGCTCGCGGCTGGATGGCTTCCCCCGATGTTGCCGAACGGCAACGAGCTAACAAGTATTGCGATTCGACAATCTTGGACGATTGCCGATTTTTGTTTTTTTTTTTTTCTTTCATCTTTTCGGAATGATTTCACCCCTGCGAGACACGTAAAACTCGTGATTGTATCGCGCGTGAAGTAACGCTGGAATGTGGCCGTTCGAGGTTTGCCACCTTGTCTTGTTATACTTAAAGCTTGATCTCTTCTGCATTGGACAAATGTGATTCGGTCGCATTCAACGTTAAATACGCGTTCGGGATATGCATTTAAGCAAACATCTCGCATTTCGTGGATATCTCGATTGTCACACTCATAAGACGATACATCGTCGATTGCTCGTGAGTTTTTCGCGGCGAGATATAATAGCAGCCGCCACGCAGCTCGTTGATTGATTTCTCACTTAGAATTTAGTAGCCTAGAATTTAAATAT